TTTCCATCACCCCGCCCCATTGTCCCTCTTTCCATCACCCCGCCCCATTCTCCCTCTTTCCATCACCCTGCCCCATTCTCCCTCTTTCCATCACCCCACCCCATTCTCCCGCTTTCAATCACCCCGCCCCATTCTCCCGCTTTCCATCACCCCGCCCCATTCTCCCGCTTTCCATCACCCCGCCCCATTCTCCCGCTTTCCATCAACCCGCCCCATTCTCCCTCTTTCCATCACCCCGCCCTAATCTTCCTCTTTCCATCACCCCGACCCATTCTCCCGCTTTCCATCACCCCGCCCCATTCTCCCTCTTTCCATCAGCCCGCCCAATTCTCACGCTTTCCATCACCCCATCCCATTCTCCCGCTTTCCATCACCCCGCCCCATTCTCCCTCTTTCCTTTCCCCCGCCCCATTCTCCCGCTTTCCATGACCCTGCCCCATTCTCCCGCTTTCCATCACACCGCTCCATTCTCCCGCTTTTCATCACCCCGCCCAATTCTCCCTCTTTTCATCACCCCTCCCCATTCTCCCTCTTTCCGTCACCTCGCCCCATTCTCCCGCTTTCTATCACCCCACCCCATTCTCCCTCTTTCCATCACCCCGTCCCATTCTCCCGATTTCCATCACCCCGCCCCATTCTCCCGCTTTCCATCACCCCGCCCCATTCTCCCTCTTTCCATCAGCCCGCCCCACTCTCCCTCCTTCCATCACCCCGCCCCATTCTCCCGCTTTCCATCACCCCGCCCCATTCTCCCTTTTTCCATCACCCCGCCCCATTCTCCCTCTTTCCATCACCCTGCCCCATTCTCCCTCTATCCATCACCCCGCCCAATTCTCCCGCTTTCCATCACCCCGCCCCATTCTCCCTCTATCCATCACCCGACCCAATTCTTCTCTTTCCATCACCCCGCCCCATTCACCCGCTTTCCATCACCCCGCCAAATTCTCCCACTTTCCATCACCCCGCTCCATTCTCCCGCTTTCCATTACCCCGCCCAATTCTCCCTCTTCCCATTACCCCTCCCCATTCTCCCGCTTTCCATCACCCCGCCCCATTCTCCCGCTTTCCATCACCCCGCCCCATTCTCCCTCTTTCCATCACCCCGCCCCATTCTCCCGCTTTCCATCACCCAGCCCCATTCTCCCTCTTTCCATCACCCCGCTCCATTCTCCTGCTTTCCATCACCCCCCCCCATTCTCCCGCTTTCCATCACCCCGCTCCATTCTCCCGCTTTCCATCACCCGCCCCATTCTCCCGCTTTCCATCACCCCGCCCCATTCTCCCTCTTTCCATCACCCCGCCCCATTCTCCCTCTTCCCATCACCCCTCCCCGTTCTCCCGCTTTCCATCACCCCGCCCTATTCTCCGTCTTTCCATCACCCCGCCCCAGTCTCCCACTTTCAATCAACCCGCCCCCTTCTCCCGCTTTCCATCACCCCGCCCCATTCTCCCCCTTTCCATCACCCCGCCCCATTCTCCCACTTTCCATCACCCCGCCCCATTCTCCCGATTTCCATCACCCCTCCCCATTGTCCCACTTTCCATCACCCCGCCCCATTCTCCCGATTTCCATCACCCCTCCCCATTCTCCCGCTTTCCATCACCCCGCCCCATTCTCCCGCTATCTATCACCCCGCCCCATTCTCCCGCTTTCCATCACCCCGCCCCATTCCCGCTTTCCATCACCCCCCCCCATTCTCCCGCTTTCTATCACCCCGCCCCATTCTCCCGCTTTCCATCACCCCGCCCCATTCTCCCGTTTTCCATCACCCCGCCCCATTCTCCCTCTTTTCATCAACCCGCCCCATTCTCCCTGTTTCTATCACCCCACCCCATTCTCCCTCTTTCCATCGCCCCGTCCCATTCTTCCACTTTTCATCACCCCGCCCCATTCTCCCTCTTTCCATCACCCCGCCCCATTCCCCCTCTTTCCATCAGCCTGCCCCATTCTCCCTCTCTCCATCACCCCGCCCTATTCTCCCTATTTCTATCACCCCGCCCCATTCTCCCGCTTTCCATCACCCCGCCCCATTCTCCCGCTATCCATCACCCCGCCCCATTCTCCCGCTTTCCATCACCCCGCCCCATTCCCGCTTTCAATCACCCCGCCCCATTCTCCCGCTTTCCATCACCCTGCCCCATTCTCCCGCTTTCCATCACCCCGCCCCATTCTCCCGCTTTCCATCACCCCGCCCCATTCTCCCTCCTTCCATCACCCCGCCCCATTCTCCCGCTTTCCATCAGCCCACCCCATTCACCCGCTTTCCATCACACTGCCCCATTCTCCCGCTTTCCATCAGCCCGCCCCATTCTCCCGCTTTCCATCACCCCGCCATATTGTCCCTCTTTCCATCACCCTGCCCCATTCTCCCTCTTTCCATCGCCCCACCCCATTCTCCCGCTTTCAATCACCCCGCCCCATTCTGCCGCTTTCCATCACCCCGCCCCATTCTCCCGCTTTCCATCACCCCGCCCCATTCTCCCGCTTTCCATCAACCCGCCCCATTCTCCCTCTTTCCATCACCCCGCCCTAATCTCCCTCTTTCCATCACCCCGACCCATTCTCCCGCTTTCCATCACCCCGCCCCATTCTCCCTCTTTCCATCAGCCCGCCCAAGTCTCACGCTTTCCATCACCCCATCCCATTCTCCTGCTTTCCATCACCCCGCCCCATTCTCCCTCTTTCCTTTCTCCCGCCCCATTCTCCCGCTTTCCATGACCCTGCCCCATTCTCCCGCTTTCCATCACACCGCTCCATTCTCCCGCTTTTCATCACCCCGCCCAATTCTCCCTCTTTTCATCACCCCTCCCCATTCTCCCTCCTTCCATCACCTCGCCCCATTCTCCCGCTTTCTATCACCCCACCCCATTCTCCCTCTTTCCATCACCCCGCCCCATTCTCCCAATTTCCATCACCCCGCCCCATTCTCCCGCTTTCCATCACCCCGCCCCATTCTCCCTCTTTCCATCAGCCCGCCCCATTCTCCCTCTTTCCATCACCCCGCCCCATTCTCCCGCTTTCCATCACCCCGCCCCATTCTCCCTTTTTCCATCACCCCGCCCCATTCTCCCTCTTTCCATCACCCTGCCCCATTCTCCCTCTATCCATCACCCCGCCCAATTCTCCCGCTTTCCATCACCCCGCCCCATTCTCCCTCTATCCATCACCCGACCCAATTCTTCTCTTTCGACCACCCCGCCCCATTCTCCCGCTTTCCATCACCCCGCCAAATTCTCCCACTTTCCATCACTCCGCTCCATTCTCCCGCTTTCCATCACCCCGCCCAATTCTCCCTCTTCCCAGTACCCCTCCCCATTCTCCCGCTTTCCATCACCCCGCCCCATTCTCCCGCTTTCCATCACCCCTACCCATTCTCCCTCTTTCCATCACCCCGCCCCATTCTCCCACTTTCCATCACCCCGCCCCATTCTCCCGACTTCCATCACCCCTCCCCATTGTCCCACTTTCCATCACCCCGCCCCATTCTCCCGATTTCCATCACCCCTCCCCATTCTCCCGCTTTCCATCACCCCGCCCCATTCTCCCGCTATCCATCACCCCGCCCCATTCTCCCGCTTTCCATCACCCCGCCCCATTCCCGCTTTCCATCACCCCGCCCCATTCTCCCGCTTTCTATCACCCCGCCCCATTCTCCCGCTTTCCATCACCCCGCCCCATTCTCCCGTTTTCCATCACCCCGCCCCATTCTCCCTCTTTTCATCAACCCGCCCCATTCTCCCTCTTTCTATCACCCCACCCCATTCTCCTTCTTTCCATCGCCCCATCCCATTCTTCCACTTTTCATCACTCCGCCCCATTCTCCCTCTTTCCATCACCCCGCCCCATTCCCCCTCTTTCCATCAGCCTGCCCCATTCTCCCTCTCTCCATCACCCCGCCCTATTCTCCCTATTTCTATCACCCCGCCCAATTCTCCCGCTTTCCATCACCCCGCCCTATTCTCCCGCTATCCATCACCCCGCCCCATTCTCCCGCTTTCCATCACCCCGCCCCATTCCCGCTTTCAATCACCCCGCCCCATTCTCCCGCTTTCCATCACCCTGCCCCATTCTCCCGCTTTCCATCACCCCGCCCCATTCTCCCGCTTTCCATCACCCCGCCCCATTCTCCCTCCTTCCATCACCCCGCCCCATTCTCCCGCTTTCCATCAGCCCACCCCATTCACCCGCTTTCCATCACACTGCCCCATTCTCCCGCTTTCCATCAGCCCGCCCCATTCTCCCGCTTTCCATCACCCCGCCCCATTGTCCCTCTTTCCATCACCCCGCCCCATTCTCCCTCTTTCCATCACCCTGCCCCATTCTCCCTCTTTCCATCGCCCCACCCCATTCTCCCGCTTTCAATCACCCCGCCCCATTCTGCCGCTTTCCATCACCCCCCCCCATTCTCCCGCTTTCCATCACCCCGCCCCATTCTCCCGCTTTCCATCAACCCGCCCCATTCTCCCTCTTTCCATCACCCCGCCCTAATCTCCCTCTTTCCATCACCCCGACCCATTCTCCCACTTTCCATCACCCCGCCCCATTCTCCCTCTTTCCATCAGCCCGCCCAAGTCTCACGCTTTCCATCACCCCATCCCATTCTCCTGCTTTCCATCACCCCGCCCCTTTCTCCCTCTTTCCTTTCTCCCGCCCCATTCTCCCGCTTTCCATGACCCTGCCCCATTCTCCCGCTTTCCATCACACCGCTCCATTCTCCCGCTTTTCATCACCCCGCCCAATTCTCCCTCTTTTCATCACCCCTCCCCATTCTCCCTCTTTCCATCACCTCGCCCCATTCTCCCGCTTTCTATCACCCCACCCCATTCTCCCTCTTTCCATCACCCCGCCCCATTCTCCCGCTTTCCATCACCCCGCCCCATTCTCCCGCTTTCCATCACCCCGCCCCATTCTCCCTCTTTCCATCAGCCCACCCCATTCTCCCTCTTTCCATCACCCCGCCCCATTCTCCCGCTTTCCATCACCCCGCCCCATTCTCCCTTTTTCCATCAACCCGCCCCATTCTCCCTCTTTCCATCACCCTGCCCCATTCTCCCTCTATCCATCACCCCGCCCAATTCTCCCGCTTTCCATCACCCCGCCCCATTCTCCCTCTATCCATCACCCGACCCAATTCTTCTCTTTCCATCACCCCGCCCCATTCTCCCGCTTTCCATCACCCCGCCAAATTCTCCCACTTTCCATCACCCCGCTCCATTCTCCCGCTTTCCATCACCCCGCCCAATTCTCCCTCTTCCCATTACCCCTCCCCATTCTCCCGCTTTACATCACCCCGCCCCATTCTCCCGCTTTCCATCACCCCGCCCCATTCTCCCTCTTTCCATCACCCCGCCCCATTCTCCCGCTTTCCATCACCCTGCCCCATTCTCCCTCTTTCCATCACCCCGCTCCATTCTCCTGCTTTCCATCACCCCCCCCCATTCTCCCGCTTTCCATCACCCCGCTCCATTCTCCCGCTTTCCATCACCCGCCCCATTCTCCCGCTTTCCATCACCCCGCCCCATTCTCCCTCTTTCCATCACCCCGCCCCATTCTCCCTCTTTCCATCACCGCTCCCCGTTCTCCCGCTTTCCATCACCCCGCCCTATTCTCCGTCTTTCCATCACCCCGCTCCATTCTCCCGCTTTCCATCACCCCGCCCAATTCTCCCTCTTCCCATTACCCCTCCCAATTCTCCCTCTTTCCATCACCCCGCCCCATTCTCCCGCTTTCCATCACCCCGCCCCATTCTCCCGCTTTCCATCACCCCGCCCCATTCTCCCTCTTTCCATCACCCTGCCCCATTCTCCCTCTATCCATCACCCCGCCCAATTCTCCCGCTTTCCATCACCCCGCCCCATTCTCCCTCTATCCATCACCCCACCCAATTCTTCTCTTTCCATCACCCCGCCCCATTCTCCCGCTTTCCATCACCCCGCCAAATTCTCCCACTTTCCATCACCCCGCTCCATTCTCCCGCTTTCCATCACCCCGCCCAATTCTCCCTCTTCCCATTACCCCTCCCCATTCTCCCTCTTTCCATCACCCCGCCCCATTCTCCCGCTTTCCATCACCCCGCCCCATTCTCCCTCTTTCCATCACCCCGCCCCATTCTCCCGCTTTCCATCACCCTGCCCCATTCTCCCTCTTTCCATCACCCCGCTCCATTCTCCTGCTTTCCATCACCCTGTCCCATTCTCCCGCTTTCCATCACCCCGCTCCATTGTCCCGCTTTCCATCACCCGCCCCATTCTCCCGCTTTCCATCACCCCGCCCCATTCTCCCTCTTTCCATCACCCCGCCCCATTCTCCCTCTTTCCATCACCCCTCCCCGTTCTCCCGCTTTCCATCACCCCGCCCTATTCTCCGTCTTCCCATCACCCCGCCCCAGTCTCCCACTTTCAATCACCCCGCCCGATTCTCCCGCTTTCCATCACCCCGCCCCATTCTCCCCCTTTCCATCACCCCGCCCCATTCTCCCACTTTCCATCACCCCGCCCCATTCTCCCGATTTCCATCACCCCTCCCCATTGTCCCACTTTCCATCACCCCGCCCCATTCTCCCTCTTTGCATCAGCCGCCCCATTCTCCCTCTTTCCATCACCCCGCCCCATTCTCCCGCTTTCCATCACCCCGCCCCATTCTCCCGCTTTCCATCACCCCGCCCCATTCTCCCGCTTTCCATCACCCCGCTCCATTCTCCCGCTTTCCATCACCCCGCCCAATTCTCGCTCTTCCCATTACCCCTCCCCATTCTCCCTCTTTCCATCAACCCGCCCCATTCTCCCGCTTTCCATCACCCCGCCCCATTCTCCCTCTTTCCATCACCCCGCCCCATTCTCCCGCTTTCCATCACCCCGCCCCATTCTCCCTCTTTCCATCACCCCGCCCCATTCTCCCTCTTTCCATCACCCCGCCCCATTCTCCCGCCTTCCATCACCCCGCCCCATTCTCCCTCTTCCATCACCCCGCTCCATTCTTCCGCTTTCCATCACCCCGCCCCATTCTTCCGCTTTCCATCACCCCGCTCCATTCTCCCGATTCTCCCTCTTTCCATCACCCCGCCCCGTTCTCCTGCTTTCCATCACCACGCCCCATTCTCCCTCTTTCGATCACCTCGCCCCATTCTCCCTCCTTCCATCACCCCGTCCCATTCTCCCGCTTTCCATCACCCCGCTCCATTCTCCCGCTTTCCATCACCCCGCCCAATTCTCTCTCTTTCTATCACCGCTCCCTATTCTCCCTCTTTCCATCACCCCGCCCCATTCTCCCGCTTTCCATCAGCCCGCCCCATTCTCCCGCTTTCCATCACCCTGCCCCATTCTCCCGCTTTCCATCATCCTGCCCCATTCTCTCGCTTTCCATCACCCCGCCCAATTCTCCCTCTTTCCGTCACCCCGCCCCGTTCTCCCGCTTTCCATCACCCCGCCCCGTTCTCCCGCTTTCCATCACCCCGCCCCATTCTCCCCCTTTCCATCACCTTGCCACATTCTCCCGCTTTCCATCACCCCGCCCCATTCTCCCTCTTTCCATCACCCCGCCCCGTTCTCCCACTTTCCATCACCCCGCCCCGTTCTCCCGCTTTCCATCACCCCGCCCCATTCTCCCCCTTTCCATCACCCGGCCCCATTCTCCCCCTTTCCATCACCCCGCCCCATTCTCCCTCTTTCCATCAGCCCGCCCCATTCTCCCTCTTTCCATCACCCCACCCCATTCTCCCGCTTTTTATCACCCGCCCCATTCTCCCGCTTTCCATCACCCCGCCCCATTCTCCCTCTTTCCATCACCCTGCCCCATTCTCCCTCTATCCATCACCCCGCCCAATTCTCCCGCTTTCCATCACCCCGTCCCATTCTCCCGCTTTCCATCACCCCGCCCCATTCTTTTGCTTTCCATCACCCCACCCCATCCTCCCTCTTTCCATCATCCCGCCCCATTCTCCCGATTTCCATCACCCCGCCCCGTTCCCCCGCTTTCCATCACCCCGCCCCATTCTCCCTCTTTCCATCATCCCGCCCCATTCTCCCGCTTCCCATCACCCCGCCCCATTCTCCCTCTTTCCATCACCCCGCCCCATTCTCCCGCTTTCCATCACTCCGCCCCATTCTCCCTCCTTCCATCACCCCGCCCCATTCTCCCTCCTTCCATCACCCCGCCCCATTCTCCCGCTTTCCATCACCCCGCCCCATTCTCCCGCTTCCCATAACCCCACCCCATTCTCCCGCTTTCCATCACCCCGCCACATTCTCCCACTTTCCATCACCCCGCCCCCTTCTCTCTCCTTCCATCACCCCGCCCCATTCTCCCTCCTTCCATAACCCCGCCCCATTCTCCCGCTTTCCATCACCCCGCCCCATTCTCCCGCTTTCCATCACCCAGCCCCATTCTCCCGCTTTCCATCACCCCGCCCCATTTTCCCGCTTTCCATCACACCGCCCCATTCTCCCGTTTTCCATCACCCTGCCCCAATCTCCCGCTTTCCATCACCCCACCCCATTCTCCCTCCTTCCATCACCCCGCCCCATCCTCCCGCTTTCCATCACCCCGCCCCATTCTCCCGCTTTCCATCACCCAGCCCCATTCTCCCGCTTTCCATCACCACGCCCAATTCTCTCGCTTTCCATCACCCCGCCCCATTCTCCCGCTTTCCATCACCCCGCCCCATTCTCCCTCCTTCCATCACCCCGCCCCGTTCTCCCTCCTTCCATCACCCCGCCCCATTCTCCCGCTTTCCATCACCCCGCCCCATTCTCCCGCTTTCCATAACCCCACCCCCTTCTCCCGCTTTCCATCACACCGCCACATTCTCACGCTTTCTATCACCCCGCCCCATTCTCACTCCTTCCATCACCCCGCCCCATTCTCCCGCTTTCCATCACCCCGCCCCATTCTCCCGATTTCCATCACCCCACCCCATTCTCCCGCTTTCCATCACCCCGCCCCATTCTCCCGCTTTCCATCACCCCGCCCCATTCTCCCTCCTTCGATCACCCCGCCCCATTCTCCCGCTTTCCATCACTTCGCCCCATTCTCCCTCCTTCCATCACCCCGCCCCATTCTCCCTCCTTCCATCACCCCGCCCCATTCTCCCGCTTCCCATCACCCCGCCCCATTCTCCTGCTTTCCATCACCACGCCACATTTTCCCACTTTCCATCACCCCGCCCCCTTCTCTCTCCTTCCATCACCCCGCCCCATTCTCCCGCTTTCCATCAGCCCGCCCCATTCTCCCGCTTTCCATCACCCCTCCCCTTTCTCCCGCTTTCCATCTCCCCGCCCCATTCTCCCGCTTTCCATCACCCCGCACCATTCTCCCGCTTTCCATCACCCCGCCCCATTCTTCCGCTTCCCATCATCCCGCCCCATTCCCCCGCTTTCCATCACCCCTCCCCATTCTTCCTCCTTCCATCACCCCGCCCCATTCTCTCGCTTTCCATCACCCCGCCCCATTCTCCCGCTTTCCATCACCCCGCCCCATTCTCCCGCTTTCCATCACCCCGCCCCATTCTTCCTCCTTCCATCACCCCGCCCCATTGTCCCGCTTTCCATCACCCCGCCCCATTCTCCCTCCTTCCATCACCCCGCCCCATTCTCCCTCAGTCCATCACCCCGCTCCATTCTCCCGCTTTCCATCACCCCGCCCTATTCTCCCGCTTCCCATAACCCCACCCCATTCTCCCGCTTTCCATCACCCCGCCACATTTTCCCACTTTCCATCTCCCCGCCCCCTTCTTTCTCCTTCCACCACCCCGCCCCATTCTCCCTCCTTCCATCACCCCGCCCCATTCTCCCACTTTCCATCAGCCCGCCCCATTCTCCCTCTATCCATCACCCCGCCCAATTCTCCCACTTTCCATCACCCCATCCCATTCTCCCGTTTTCCATCACCCCGCCCCATTCTCTCGCTTTCCATCACCCCGCCTTTTTCTCCCGCGTTCCATCACCCCTCCCCATTCTCCCGATTTCCATCACCCCGCCCCATTCTCCGCTTTCCATCACCCCGCCCCATTCTCCCGATTTCCATCACCCCGCCCCATTCTCCCGCTTTCCATCACCCCACCCCATTCTCACTCTTTCCATCACCCCTCCCCATTCTCCCTCTTTCGATCACCCCGCCCCATTCTCCTGCTTTCTATCACCCCGCCCCATTCTCCCTCTTTCCATCACCCTGCCCCATTCTCCCGCCTTCCATCACCCCGCCCCATTCTCCATCTTTCCATCACCCGGCCCCATTCTCCCTCTTTCCATCACCCCGCCCCATTCTCCCGCTTTCCATCACCCCGTTCCATTTTCCCGATTTCCATCACCCCGCCCCATTCTCCCGCTTTCCATCACCCCACCCCATTCTCCCGCTTTCCATCACCCCGCCCCATTCTCCCGCTTTCCATCACCCAGCCCCATTCTCCCGCTTTCCATCACCCCGCCCCATTCTCCCGCTTTCCATCACCCCGCCCCATTCTCCCTCTTTCCATCACCCCGCCCCATTCTCCCGCATTCCTTCACCCCGCCCCATTTTCCCTCGTTCCATCACCCCGCTCCATTCTCCCGCTTTCCATCACCCCGCCCAATTCTCCCTCTTTCCATCACCCCTCCCCATTCTCCCTCTTTCCATCACCCTGCCCCATTCTCTCGCTTTCCATCACCACGCCCCATTCTCCCTCTTTCCACCTCCCCGCCCCATTCTCGCTCTTTCCATCACCCCGCCCCATTCTCCCGCTTTCCATCACCCCGCCCCATTCTCCCTCTTTCCATCAGCCCGCCCCATTCTCCCGCTTTCCATCAACCCGCCCCATTCTCCCTCTTTCCATCACCCCGCTCCATTCTCCCGGTTTCCATCACCCCGCCCCATTCTCCCGCTTTCCACCACCCCGCTCCATTCTCCCGCTTTCCATCACCACGCCCCATTTTCCCTCTTTCCATCACCCCGCCCTATTCTCCCGCTTTCCATCACCTCGCCCCATTCTCCCGCTTTCTATCACCCCTCTCCATTCTCCCTCTTTCCATCACCCCGCCCCATTCTCCCGCTTTCCATCACCCCGCCCCATTCTCCCTCTTTCCATCACCCCGCCCCATTCTCCCTCTTTCCATCACCCCGCCCCATTTTCCCGCTTTCCATCACCCCGCCCCATTCTCCCTCTTTCTATCACCCCGCCCCATTCTCCCGCTTTCCATCACCCCGCCCCATTTTCCCGCTTTCCATCACCCTGCTCCATTCTCCCGCTTTCCATCACCCCGCCCAATTCTCCCTCTTTCCATCATCCCTCCCCATTCTCCCTCTTTCCATCAACCCGCCCCATTCTCCCTCTTTCCATCACCCCGCCCCATTCTCCCGCTTTCCATCCACCGCCCCATTCTCCCGCTTTCCATCATCCCGCCCCATTCTCCCTCTATCCATCACCCCGCCCCATTCTCACGCCTTCCATCACCCCGCCCCATTCTCCCGCTTTCCATCACCCCGCCCCATTCTCCCGCTTTCCATCACCCCACCCCATTCTCTCGATTTGCATCACCCCGCCCCATTCTTCCGCCTTCCATCACCCCGCCCCATTCTCCCTCTTTCCATCACCCCGCCCCATTCTCCCGCTTTCCATCACCCTGCCCCATTCTCCCTCTTTCTATCACCCCGCCCCATTCTCCCGCTTTCCATCACCCCGCCCGCTTTCCATCACCCCGCTCCATTATCCCGATTTCCATCACCCCGCCAATTCTCCCTCTTTCCATCACCCCTCCCCATTCTCCCTCTTTCCATCAAACCGCCCCATTCTCCCGCTTTCCATCACCCCGGCCCATTCTCCCTCTTTCCATCACCCCGCCCCATTCTCTCGCTTTCCATCACCCCGCCCTATTCTCCCTCATTCCATCACCCCGCCCCATTCTCCCGCTTTCCATCACCCGCCCCATTCTCCCGCTTTCCATCACCCCGCCCCATTCTCCCTCTTTCCATCACCCCGCCCCATTCTCCCGCCTTCCATCACCCCGCCCCATTCTCCTGCTTTCCATCACCCCGCCCCGTTCTCCCGCTTTCCATCACCCCACCCCATTCTCCCGATTTGCATCACCCCGCCCCATTCTCCCTCTTTCCATCACCCCACCCCATTCTCCCGCTTTCCATCACCCCGCCCCATTCTCCCTCTTTCCATCACCCCGCCCCATTCTCCCTCTTTCGATCAGCCCGCCCCATTCTTCCGCTTTCCATCACCCCGCCCCATTCTCCCTCTTTCCATAACCCCGCCCCATACTCCCGCTTTCCATCACCCCGCCCCATTCTCCCTCTTTCCATAACCCCGCCCCGTTCTCCCGCTTTCCATCACCCCGCCCCAATCTCCCTCATTCCATAACCCCTCCCCATTCTCCCTCTTTCCATCACCCTGCCCCATTCTCCCGCTTTCCATCACCCCGCCCCATTTTCCCGATTTCGATCACCCCGCCCCATTCTCCTGCTTTCCATCACCCCGCCCCATTCTCCCGCTTTCCATCACCCCGCCCCATTCTCCCGCTTTCCATCACCCTGCCCCATTCTCCCGCTTTCCATCACCCCGCCCCATTCTTCCTCTTTCCATCACCCCGCCCCATTCACCCGCTTTCCATCACCCCGCCCCATTCTCCCGCTTTCCATCACCCCGCCCCATTCTCCCGCTTTCCATCACCCCGTCCCATTCGCCCGCTTTCCATCACCTCGCCCCATTCTTCCTCTTTCCATCTCCCCGCCCCATTCTCCCTCTTTCCATCACCCCGCCCCATTCTCCCGATTTCCGTCACCCCGCCCCATTCTGACTCTTTCCATCACCCCGCCTCATTCTCCCGATTTCCGTCACCCCGCCCCATTCTCCCTCTTTCCATCACCTCGCCCCATTCTTCCTCTTTCCATCTCCCTGCCCCATTCTCCCTCTCCATCACCCCGCCCCATTCTCCCTCTTTCCATCACCCCGCCCCATTCTCCCTCTTTCCATCACCCCGCCCCATTCTCCCGATTTCCGTCACCTCGCCCCATTCTCCCTCTTTCCATCACCCCGCCCCATTCTCCCGATTTCCGTCATCCTGCCCCATTCTCCCTCTTTCCATCACCCCGCCCCATTCTCCCTCTTTCCATCACCCCAACCCATTCTCCCGCTTTCCATAACCCCGCCCCATTCTCCCTCTTTCCATCACCCCGCCCCATTCTCCCGCTTTCCTTCACCCCGCCCCATTCTCCCGATTTCCGTCACCTCGCCCCATTCTCCCTCTTTCCATCACCCCGCCCCATTCTCCCGATTTCCGTCATCCTGCCCCATTCTCCCTCTTTCCATCACCCCGCCCCATTCTCCCTCTTTCCATCACCCCAACCCATTCTCCCGCTTTCCATCACCCCGCCCCATTCTCCCTCTTTCCATCACCCCGCCCCATTCTCCCGCTTTCCATCACCCCGCCCCATTCTCCCTCCTTCCATCACCCCGCCCCGTTCTCCTGCTTTCCATCACCCCGCCCCATTCTCCTGCTTTCCATCACCCTGCCCCATTCTCCCGCTTTCCATCACCCCGCCCCATTCTCCCGCTTTCCATCACCCCGCCCCATTCTCCCTCTTTCCATCACCCCGCCCCATTCTCCCGCTTTCCATCACCCTGCCCCATTCTCCCGCTTTCCATCACCCCGCCCCATTCTCCCGCTTTCCATCACCCTGCCCCATTCTCCCGCTTTCCATCACCCCGCCCCATTCTCCCTCTTTCCATCACCCCGCCCCATTCTCCCGCTTTCCATCACCCCGCCCCATTCTCCCGCTTTTCATCACCCCGCCCAATTCTCCCTCTTTCCATCACCCCTCCCCATTCTCCCTCTTTCCATCACCACACACCATTCTCCCGATTTCCATCACCCCGCCCCATTCTCCCTCTTTCCATTACCCCGCCCCATTCTCCTGCTTTCCATCACCCCGCCCCATTCTCCCTCTTTCCATCACCCTGCTCCATTCTCCCGCTTTCCATCACCCTGCCCAATTCTCCCGCTTTCCATCTCCCCTCTCCATTCTCCCTCTTTCCATCTCCCCGCCCCGTTCTCCTCCTTTCCATCACCCCGTCCAACTCTCCCTCTTTCCGTCACCCCGCCCCATTCTCCCTGTTTCCATCACCTCGCCTCATTCTCCCTCTTTCCATCTCCCCGCCCCATTCTCCCGCTTTCCATCACCCCGCCCCATTCTCCCTCTTTCCATCACCCCACCCCATTCTCCCGCCTTTCATCACCCCGCCCCATTCCTCCCGCTTTCCATCACCCCGCACAATTCTTCCGCTTTCCATCACCCCGCCCCATTCTTCCGCTTTCCATCACCCCGCCCCATTCTCCCGCTTTCCATCACCCCTCCCCATTCTCCCTCTTTCCATCACCCCGCCCCATTGTCCCGCTTTCCATCACCCCGCCCCATTCTCCCTCTTCCATCACCCCGCCCCATTCTCCCGCCTTTCATCACCCCACCCCATTCTCCCGCTTTCCATCACCCCGCCCAATTCTCCCGCTTTCCATCACCCCGCCCCATTCTCCCGCCTTCCATCACCCCGCCCCATTCTCCCTCTTTCCATCACCCCGCCCCATTCTCACGCTTTCCATGAGCCCGCCCCAATCTCCCTCTTTCAATCACCCCGCCCCATTCTCCCAATTTCCATCACCCCGCCCCATTCTCCGTCTATCCATCACCCCGCCCCATTCTCCCGCTTTCCATCACCCCACCTTATTCTCCCGTTATCCATCACCCCGCCCCATTATCCCGATTTCCATCACCCCGCCCCATTCTCCCGCTTTCCATCACCCCGCCCCATTCTCCCTCTTTCCATCACCCCGCCCCATTCTCCCGATTTCCATCACCCTGCCCCATTTTCACTCTTTCCATCACCCCGCTCCATTCTCCCGCTTTCCATCACCCCGCCCAATTCTCCCTCTTTCCATCACTCCTCCCCATTCTTCCTCTTTCCATCACCCCACCCCATTCTCCCGCTTTCCATCACCCCGCCCCATTCTCCCTCTTTCCATCACCCGGCCCCATTCTCCCTCTTTCAATCACCCCGCCCCATTCTCCCGCTTTCCATCACCCCGTCCCATTCTCCCGCTTTCCATCATTCTGCCCCATTCTCACTCTTTCCATCACCCCTCCCCATTCTCCCTCTTTCCATCACCCCGCCCCATTCTCCCGCCTTCCATCACCCCGCCCCATTCTCCATCTTTCCATCACCCTGCCCAATTCACCGTGTGTTCAACCTACCGTGTCTTCAACCCACCTTGTGTTCAACCCACGGTGTGTTCCACCCACCGTGTGTTCACCGGACCGTGTGTTGAACCCACCATGTGTTCAACCAAACGTGTGATCAGCCCACCGTGTGTTCAACCCACTGTGTGTTCAACCCACCGTGTGTTCAATCCACCGTGTGTTCAATCCACCGTGTGTTCAACCCACTGTGTGTTCCACCCACCGTGTGATCAACCCACCGTGTGTTCAACCCACCATGTGTTCAACCCACCGTGTGTTCCACCCACCGTGTGTTTAACGCACCGTGTGTTCAACCCACCGTGTGATCTACCCACCGTGTGTTCAACCCACCGTGTGGTCCACTCACGGTGTGATCAACCCACCGTATGTTCAACCCACCATGTGTTCAACCCACCGTGTGTTCCACCCACCGTGTGTTCAACACACCGTGTGTTCAACCCACCGTGTGCTCAACCTATCGTGTGTTCAACCCACCGTATGTTCAACCCACCGTGTGTTCAACCCACCGTGTGTTCAACCCACCATGTGTTCAACCCACTGTATGTTCAACCCACCATGTGTTTAACCCACCGTGTGTTCCACCCACCGTGTGTTGAACCCACAGTGTGTTGAACCCACCGTATGTTCAACCCACCGTGTGTTCAACCTATCCAAAGTTCAACCCACCGTGTGTTCAACCCACCGCGTGTTCAACGCACCGTGTGTTCAACCCACCGTGTGTTCAACCCACTGTGTGTTCAACCCACCGTGTGTTCAACCCACCGTATGTTCAACCCACCGTGTGTTCAACCCACCGTGTGATCAACCCACCGTGTGATCAACCCACTGTGTGATCAACCCACCGTATGTTCAACCCACCCTGTGTTCAACCCACCGTGTCTTCCACCCACCGTGTGTTCCACCCACCGTGTGTTCAACCCACCGTGTGATCAACCCACTGTGTGTTCAGCCCACCGTGTGTTCCACCCACGGTGTGATCAACCCACCGTGTGTTCAACCCACCATGTGTTCAACCCACCGTGTGTTCCACCCACCGTGTGTTCAACCCACCGTGTGATCAACCCACCGTGTGTTCAACCCACCGTGTGTTCCACCCACGGTGTGATCAACCCACCGTGTGTTCAACCCACCATGTGTTCAACCCACCGTGTGTTCCACCCACCGTGTGTTCAACACACCGTGTGTTCAACCCACCGTGTGCTCAACCTATCGTGTGTTCAACCCACCGTGTGTTCAACCCACCGTGTGTTCAACCCACCGTGTGTTCAACCCACCGTGTGTTCAACCCACTGTCTGTTCAACCCACCATATGTTCAACCCACCGTGTGTTCCACCCACCGTGTGTTGAACCCACCGTGTGTTGAACCCACCGTGTGTTGAACCCACCGTGTGTTCAACCCACCGTGTGTTCAACCTATCGTGTGTTCAACCCACCGTGTGTTCAACCCACTGTGTATTTAACGCACCGTGTGTTCAACCCACCGTGTGTTCAACCCACCGTTTGTTCAACCCACCGTGTGTTCAACCCACCGTGTGTTCAACCCACCGTGTGATCAACCCACCGTGTGATCTACCCACCGTGTGATCAACCCACCGTGTGATCAACCCACCGTATGTTCAACCCACCATGTGTTCAACCCACCGTGTGTTCCACCCACGGTGTGATCAACCCACCGTATGTTTAACCCACCATGTGTTCAACCCACCGTGTGTTCCACCCACCGTGTGTTCAACGCACCATGTGTTCAACCCACCGTGTGTTCCACCCACCGTGTGTTCAACCCACCGTGTGATCAACCCACCGTGTGTTCAACCCACCATGTGTTCAACCCACCGTGTGTTCCACCCACCGTGTGTTCAACCCACCGTGTGCTCAACCTATCGTGTGTTCAACCCACCGTGTGTTCAACCCACCGTGTGTTCAACCCACCGTGTGTTCAACCCACCGTGTGTTCAACCCACTGTATGTTCAACCCACCGTATGTTCAACCCACCGTGTGTTCCACCCACCGTGTGTTGAACCCACCGTGTGTTGAACCCACCGTGTGTTGAACCCACCGTGTGTTCAACCCACCGTGTGTTCAACCTATCGTGTGTTCAACCCACCGT